TCCATGAGTCACTTCATACCTTTGTGCCTCGGTTTTCTCTTTTATAAAACTGAGCGTAGATTGGTTTGTATGTCAAACAGTCCTGTTAAATGAGAGTAGGCGTGTGGGCAATAAAGTGCTTATTAAGTCCTCAAAAGTATTAATCATTCTGATTCATTATCCCATTCTTTCCTGTTTCAGCATGGTGTCTGTGCACACACACACACAAGTGTTTATCTAAATAGCGACAGAGCCGCTAGACTTGCTTTGTAAGTTTCAGGGAAGCGGGATGAGAGGTGGGTGTGTGGTGCTGTGGGCAGGCTGGAAGGCAGCAGTTAAAGTGTTAATCTGGACCATTGCGAGGAAATGGTAGTTCACTTCAAAGGTGAGTCACCTTGGAATGTTGCTGTGTTTAAAGAGCAGCGGTACTTGCAGTAGGAGTAGAATTCCTGCTTGTGGGGAGCCCTTGCTACTATAGTTCTGCTTGTTCCCATTTCTGTTTTCTCCCTGTTTCTGTTCTCCGTTCCCCAGGGTGCTGCCTATCTAAGCTGGCCTTCTACCACCCTCTCGACAGGGGAACTGTCTCAGGGTGCAGCTTCTCTGGTCCACGCGCTGAGGAGGCCTAAATAGCTGGAACAGCAGTCAAAAAATTCAACCTGAGTTCATTCATATTCATGCTCTGTACAGTGTTTCTGCATTCTTTCCTGCCCCAGGCTCCACCAGGAAAGTGTGTGAGCGAGGGCAGGGGACCGGGAGATGGCTCCCAGAATCTGTGGCTGATTTGCAAGCCTGAGGAGCCGGCATGAAAGGCGGCAATAAAAGTCAGTCATCAGCTCTGATATTTATAGCGAGACTGTGGAAAGAAAGAAGAGAAAGCCATGAAATGTTATTAGGGAGTCAGAGCAGTGGAGAGAGCGCCTCACTATAACTCACACTGGACTACTTGACTTTGCACATGCATGGTGCATCAGTGGGGCTCACTTTGAGAAAGAGAGTTTAGAACCTGTCCTCTCTCCGGCATGTGGTGAGTTGCTTTTTGATATAAGAAATTCACAGTACCAAACTGTTGCACATTTCACAAATCTGGTTGAACTTTAGAAAGCATTTTTACAAAACACCTTTCGGTCAGTGAGAAGACAGAAAGGAAAAGGACAGTTCTCTCACGATGTTGAAAAGACTATTGGTTGGTTTGCAAATAAGAAAAAAAAAATGCAATGTTGTGCAAACAGAAGGGATTCATTTACTAATACAAGCAAATCAACAGCAACGATAGTGAGATGCAGATCCTTAAAAAACCCTTCAAAATACCGAAATGCCACAGAATTAAGAAGTTGTGCCAATTAACTGTCACAGGGTAGGGCTAGTATTATTTGGACTTATTGATTACTTTTGTAACCTGGTGCATTATTGTCCTTTTGAAATTAGATCATGGTGCTTGGAATTCTCAAAGACTCACCACGATTACCCCCTATATTGTATAGCGTCCTAGGAGAAGGACAAACCTGGGGCAGGGGAATATATTTAAATCTACACTAGAGTAACTGTTCTACATATGTGCTCCCTTAAAATATATTTTTGGGTCTTTTATAACTCCTAACATCAGAACAGTCCTGTGCATTAGAGTTAGGAATTCTTGGGAGCCTTGAAAGAGCATTTGCCTTTGTAAGGCCTCTGGGTTTCCACTGCAGTGTGTTCATCAAAACAGCAGCAGCTGGAACATGTGAGTGACTGACGAGAAGCAATCCTTCCTGCAGTGAAAGAACTGGAGACTCGGAGACTGGCGCCCTAGCTCAGGTCACATACTAGTCAGAGAGAAGACATCACAGTAAGGTCCTGCCTGGCCTCAGCCAGTGCCTCTCACCACAGCACGCATCTGAAGAGTCTTTGGCACCCAGCACTTACCTGATGTCAACTAAACAGTATACTGTAGGAAATACCTGGTGACCGGCTCAGTGAAATGAGAACCATTATACTTTTAAGATGATTTAAAATGAGCTAAAACACAAAAGAAATCTGTTTTTTAGAGAGGCCAGCCAACTACTAATAGATCCATTGCATATAACAAGAGGCAAGTCATAGTTGGCTTTTATTGTTACTTTGATTAGGTTAAGGAACCCCTATGGCATTAGTGAGGCTTACCTTTGGATGTATCTGTGAGGGTATTTTCACAGAGGATTAACTGATGTCCTGATCTCTTTCTGTCTCTGTCTCTCTCTGCATGTGTGCGTGTGTCTGTGTGTGTGTGTGTGTGTGTGTGTGTGTGTGTGTGTGGTGGCCACTGTCTTCTTGGGCTAGGGTCCAGGACTGAATACAAAAGGAAAAATAGAATGCAAACTGAGCACCACATTCATTTTCTTCTGCTTCCTGCCTGTATATATTATGTGGCCAGCTACTTTGAATGGCTGCTGCGTGTGTCCTGCCTTCTCTGCCATGATGATCCCACATGAACCCCTCCTTCCTTACCAAAGATACTTTTCCACAGTAATAGGAAGAGTCCTAAACACAAGGTATTGACTATTATGAACTAAGGCAAAAAAATTCTACATTAGGTTATAATCACTTCATCTTCTTAAACTGTGGGTTGCGTAATCGGATGTGGGGGCTGTGAAAGTTTTGACAATGGTAAAAGGTTTCTGAACATGCCACAACCGAAAACCAATTCAATATCACGTGTGTGATCACATGGACCTGAAGTCTCATGGCACTGTTCAGCTGTGTTGCATGGTACCACTCCACTGCAGCTTTGATCCAAACATACCGCATGTACTTTCTGCAGGCATGCCGCCGCGCCTCATAGTGATGTAGGAGGATCATCTGTCTATGTGTTACTTTCATTGGCTAATAAAGAAACTGCCTTGGCTTTTGATAGGACAGCAGCTTAGATAGGCGGAGTAGACAGAACAGGATGCTGGGAGAAAGAAGATCAAAATCATGTTCAAATAATGTTGAAACATATTGAAGGTGCTCTATGTCCTGCAGTATTAAATATTCAGCCAAGTTTACATTATGTCAAAAAATAAGCAATTTATCTAATTAATATAAAAACTTGCTTTTGTCTAGTAAGTGTAGCAAAGAATTGGGTTGAAATACATTTATTTATGATTTATTATAGGTACTTGATTTATAGATCTACTATTTACACCTAGATATCTAGAGTTTTATAAAAATTTCTCTAATGAGTCACTGTGCAAAAGGCATGCTTTATATCAAAGCTCAGATTCTCTGCAGAAGGAGAGGGGTTGACAATGCGAGCAAGAGCGAGCATGTGTGGAGGCCTAAAGCATCCTTGACTGCAATGGAGAGAAGCCTGGCACGAGATGCATTGCTTTGCTTTCCACTGATGTACAAGCAGCAGCTAACTGCTCAGAATAAATCTTCGGGAGAAAGCAGGGCAGGATTTTGATATTCAAATATATCGAGAACCACCAGAAAGAGCATGGCTGTTGGGGGAAACAAGATCTCTTCTTTTGTACTGAGTTAAGATGCAGTTATTTTGGGCACTTTTATTCAAAAGATGGAAATTGTGCCTAATTTCCATTTATCTTGTTCTCAGTCTACCAAACCTGCAAAGCAGAGGGTGATTGATCTTAAAATGTCAATCTCTTACCTAAAGAGAGGAAGAAAAGATTTATTTAAAGAATAAAATGTCATAGGGGCTCTTAGGAGAAAATCTCCTGGGTTTGAATTTTTCTCTTGACATCCAGGTTTCCAGGTGAGTAATTCTCCCTCTGTATCCATCTCACCAATAGTGTTCCCCAGATGAGTGTGAGTGTAGCCACCCAGACTACTGAAGGAAATGTTCTATGGTCCATTTTGTCAGTTTGTCTATCTAGGCACAGTTTCAATAGAACTCTCTGTGACAAAGGCAACAGACTCTGAAGATTTGGATAAAAATGATAAATTCAAGTCCTGGAGGTTCTCATCTTAGGGAGAATGGGTCCACCATGCTGGGGTGTCTGAGGTTTAGTGCTAGAAGATGTTGGGAGAAACTGAAACTCATGGTTTAGAGAATTAGCTGCTATAGGAATGGTAGATGATGCGTCAGAAGGTCCCAGGAATTCTTGGCTTCTGGTTTAACTTGTGTACTTAAGGCTTAGTATGTATTTCATAATATAATGTATTTCAAGAGCCTACAACAGGGTCTCCCTGGCACATGGTCAGCATTTGACAATTATTTGTTCAAATAAGTCAATGTGAAAATTAGAAAACCTTTCCCGGTGGTTTAGATATAAGTATGAATGTACATTGTTTATGAAATGAATGTTATTGTTTTAAAATCCTGTGAGTTAAACAAAACAACACACAAATGAACTTATAACACCTTGAGTTGTCATCTAAACTGACCTTCTGTTTCAGTAAGACTGCTTGCTACTCAAACTTCCCTAGATAAATGAATTCTTTTTCTAAATACCTTTCTGGTGCAGGAGAATTGTCTGTATTCTGTCAATCATGTTTTAAATAAATGCTGATTGGCCAGGCAGGAAGTATAGGTGGGTCAACCAGACAGGAAGTAGAGATGGGGTGATGAGAACAGGAGTATTCTGGGAAGCAGGAAGCTCCTTCCATAGTCCTGTCCAGACCACGGAAGAAGCAAGGTGTAATTTGCCTGACTGAGAAAGGTACTGAGCCATGTGGCTAACATAGATAAGAATAATGGGTTAATATAAGCTACAAGAGCTAATAAGTAGCCTAAGCTAATGGGCCAATCAGTTTTATAACTTATGGAGATCTTTGTGTGATTTTCTTTGGGACTTGCCAGCTGTGGGTGCCGGGTGGGACAGAAACCCCAACAAGCCAGCCCTCATGTTACACCTTTCAGTGTAGAGTGGTCATATACCAAAACCTAGTGGCTGGTACTCTGGTTTCCAAGGTTCGGGGAAAATGATTCTCTGTCTTCAGATTTGCATGTCTCCCTAATGGTTAGCTGGACTGGGGATGCTACTGCCGTGGAGTGAGAAGTGGGCCAGAAGTCAAGACAGTTTGGAAACTGCAACCCTAGTCTGGATCCTTGTTCCTTCCAGGCTGCAAAAGGCCAAGAGATTTTCTGTCATTGTGGAAAAGCAGACTAGTCAAGAACAAGGCTACAGATCAAAATCCAGAAGGAGCTGGTCTCTCTGAGGACGAGCAGGCTACTAGGAACAAGGGAGACTTCTCGTTTGAACTCTGAAGATGGAAGGGACAGTGGCCATGGGCAAGAACACAGCTGGAGTTGCCTCGTCTGAAACATCTGAGGACCGTGGGCCAAGACAGAAAGACAAAGGGAACAAAGGAGAATCTCCCAGGTAACATCTAAAGAGTGAGTCCCAAGAAAACCACCCATTCTGGGTTTTCAAACTGTGCTAGGCTCCTTCTCTGACTTTCCCGTTCTGCCAGTGGCTCAGACCAAGAGCAGAGATGGCCTTGGCAACTATGAGAATCACTGGAGACACATGTGATTTTGGACTATGGGAAATAACTTCTGTGGGTTACATGGTTACATGCTGAGGATTCAAACCTAAGGAAGACAAAGATCATACTCTCAAAATAGGAAATGATTTAGAAGGCCTAAAGGTTCTTACACAGCACACATGCCTTAGCTTCAGCCACGATATGAATGGACCCGAATCAGAATTGCTTGATCTTAACAAACAAAATGCGCAGAAATAATATTCAAGAAACTGAAAATGGATAGGCTTTTGATTTCCCACAACGTTGAGGAAAATATTTTCATTTAGTCAAAATTTTCTAAGAAAATAATTTTAGCTGTCTCACTTTGTTTATGAGTTTTCAATAAATTTCTTTTCTTGTTGACTTTTTTTCTAGACATACCGAGGAAAGCAATTTTTTCTAGAATGTTCTCTCTAAACACTATAAAAGTTAATTATATTGCTTTTTGTATGACTCTTGAATGCTACCTTTCCTCCCCTGGTGTCCAGGACTCACTTTTTCTGCCTATCTCTTCTGTGGTGTCTGTATGGCTTGTAAGGAAAGACATTAGCTTTTATCTGCAGACTGCAGCCATCAGATTGCCGTGGAAATATGAATTAATTACTGCAGAACCGCCTCAATGCTGAGCAGTGGGCACAGGAGAATTGAAACCAGGATCCAAGACAATACACATAGGCAAAGAGGCTGGGATCTGTACTTGGGCTATTGTGGTATAGCAGGGCTGGAGAGCGGGGATGAACTACTGGGACAGAGCAGCCTTCAGCCTGAGGAAGCTTCTCTTTAGGAAAGCCTGGTGGCTCACTGTGCCTGTCAAGTAGGCTAATGTGTCTGTTAATTTCTTCTGACAGAAAACACATCACATCACAGGAGTGGCAACAAACCGCACAGGCACACACATCGTAAAAGACTGAAAGCTGGGCCTTTCAGTGTGAACAACATATACTAGAGCGAGAAGCTACGGGACACTGGAAAGAAACAAAAGCCAGGAAGCACCGTGATGATGTTCTAAGAAAAAGGCGTATATCATTTACAGTATGAAGAGATGCTTCTTCGGAAGCCGTGGCTTCTGTATTATCTGGTGGTTGCAGTTCAAGGTCGCAGTATCAGAGGGCCAAAGGGACCTGATTCAAAAGTTAATATTTGTCGTGACTGGCTCTGCAATTGCATGAATATTAAATATGTAGAAATAATCGTAAGCACGTTATCTCGGTGTCGCTACGCATCGCTTTAATTTTTAATGTAATCTTTTTATCCGCCTTCTCCTCAGCTGGCTGTGGCCGTGTGATTTGCATGGCTAGAATGATCTGGTGCCATCAATTTGGTAATGAAGTCCCTCACCGAGCAGGAGAGGTTTCCAAAGCTGTAGGAAAGGAGAGAGCAGAAATGAACTTTTATATTCCAGCTAAGTGGGGACTAAATCTTAGGCCATTTGTTTTTCCTTTGTAATTTGATGTGATTGCTTTGTGAGAAATCTTAGAAACAGAGAAAGGGGGACAGCACAAATATTTCCATCACCTTACCTCATCAGTATCCTATGTTCTGGTCTCTTATCTTGACATATGCATATTAGTAACAGATATAATCTGAGTTAGGTATGATGTGTCTGTGTATACTTTTTCATCCTGTTTTCTTAACCTTTCTGATTATAAAATAGTAATAAAAAATAGGGTTACATACTTTATTCATAATTCATTTCTGGCTAGCGAAGCAGAACAATGTTGTCATTAGACATAACACACCACTTCTGCCATGAAACAGCATGGATGCAGAAAGATTAGAGGAAGGTGTGCCTCAGTTTCCCTCTACTAAGAGAGCTAACAATACTTCCCCTCTATGAATGTTCCTGGTAGAGTCAAGGAAAGAATCCATGGGAAGTTCTTGCCCTGGCCCCAAAATTATCAAAGGGAAAAAGCCAGTTGCATTTGATTTCAAAAATTATGTGAAAACATTTTATACAGTGGGATTTCCTGGGAACTTGTCCTCACTTTGAAACCCCCACATCCCCTTTCTCTCTACCAGTATTTTCTTGCTGAGTGCTATTGCTTTGCTTCATAATTTACATACCAGAACACTTCCTTAAAGAGATAGCTGAGTTTTTGCCTGCTATTAAACTTGATATAAATTGAAACACACACACACACACACACACACACACACACACACACACACACGTATGCACGCACGCATGCACGCACACATGCATGCACACGCACACTCACCACCACCATTTGGTATCTAGACAGATCACAATCTCAAGCTTGCTTCTGTTGTGATGAAGAAAGGCTTCGACAGGAAACCTGAGCTTGGCTTCCTACCCACTCTTTCTGAAACCTAGGGCAAAGTTTTTTCCCCTTGAGGTTGGATGTGCTGTCTTTGAAGCTTTCGGATACTCAGTTACTAAGCCTTTCCTTGTTGAGTGTGGCAGCGGAGAAATCAGAGCCAGAGAGAATCCAGAGAAAACAGCTTAGGGCGGCTGGAAGTAAGCCTGATCTTCACATCATGCCGACACCAGTGACAGCAAGCAGAGGGCTCTTGGAAATGCAAGTGATGAGCCTACGCCACACATCGCTTTGTCTCTGATGTGTACATATTTAGATACACTGTTGGCCTTAATTATCATGTGAATAGAAGACATCTTCCTCAGAGTAAATCATAGTCATAAAGATTTGGATGCCAGGAGTTTGGAGTTTGAATAACTTATCACACATTGTATATTTATTACAGGTCTTCCTGGGCAGAGATGGTGTTGGAATACTTACTCCATCCTTTCTGTCGAAGCAGCTTTTCCTACTAATGCTGCCTCTGACAAGTGCTGCAGGCTGGCTCCTTCCGTGTGCCTCCCCCTCCCTATCCTATTGCTTAACTCTGCAGAGACCAGTAACCTTCATTTTCTAGACCTCTGTGTATCTCGAGCTGTAGACCTGGATTGTGTTTGTCCATTGGCTATACTCTCGATAGATTTAGAAAGAAGGGGTATGAGTACCCTTCTGACCTGTCAGTGACTCCTCTTTCTGCACTGGCGTTCCTAATTCATTACTCAGACCCCGAGGAACAATAAGCAGAGGTGGAGGAGAGCAGTAGTGTTTGGACACACCTAGCCCCAGAGCTCTGGCCTTGGGCTAGAGCTATTCGCTGCACGGACAGGCCAGCTCCGTATAGCTCTGGTGATCATTCCAGGCTTGTCTGAATCCTTCCTCGGTGGCGTGAACCCAGATTTTGTAAGTGTCCCCTGTTAAATAGCTTAAAGCACCTAGACATGTTTATAGCACTTTACACTGAATTAGGATAGCAGAGTCCCAAGAGTAGCCATGCAAAATCCACCCACTCTACCCAAGATGATTGCATGTAATTCTATTTTATTTATCTATTTTTTTTGAGACAAGGTTTTTCCTGTGTATCATTGGATAGCCTGGTCTACCCGGGAACTCACTCTTTAGACCAGGCTAGCCTTGGACTCAGAGAGCCACCTGCCTCTGCCTCCCAAATGTTGGGGTAGTATCTTCAATTCTATAGCATGCTAGAGGAGACAGAAGAACGAAGTGAGCATTTAGTAGTTATGTACTTTAAACCATGTTAATCTTTCTGCATCTAAGTTCCATTATGGATGGAATAGGTATCAGCACACTAAAGCGTCAGTATTATGAAAACTAATCAAGGAAACATGTTAAACACCCAGCATAGACTTATTTGCTTTATTTCTTTAAATCAAAATTTCTTTATATCAAAATATTGGCTTCCTGTAACGATTAAGATTAGCAAATTTTCTTTTTAGGAATCCTCTTTAGTGGGCTTTGAAGAAAGTACTTTGGGGGGGGGGAACGTGCTAATTCGGAAAGCGAAGAATATCTTTTTAAAATTTATTTCTATATTATGTGTGGGGGAGTTTTTCCTGCATGCATGTCTGTGTACCATGTGCATTTATGCCTGGAGCCCACACTGGCCAGAAGAGAATGCTGGATCCCCTAGAACTGAAGCTATAGCCTGTGGCTAGCTGCCTTGTCGGGGGTCCCTGGAAGAACAGTCAGTGATCTTAACCAACACGCCGCCTCTCTCCAACCCAAAGAACAGTTTTGAATGTAGACTAGTCAACAGACCTTTATATAAGCCAGGGCAACTAACCCTTTCCTAGCACTAGTAAGTTCACCCTCACTGGTGCCTCAGAACCAGTCAATTAATTCAGAAGGTGCTTATTAAGCCTCGCTATTGATAGACACTGTTCTGCCCATTGAGATACAATGGTAAACCATATTCCAGGAGCTTGTAGCCTACTGGGAAAGACAGATGCAAACCAAGTCAGACAGTAATGGGAAGAATTCTGAAGACAGGGTGGCCATCCTCCAGCTTCTTTATCCTTCTGGTGCCCCTCCAGTGGCTTGTTATACTTCCTGACTCACACCTTCCCCACGTTTCTGCCATGGGGAGAAAGCACAGGCAGAAAGAGAATATGGCATAGCCCAACACTGTCTTAGGTGGGTGGGTGATTTCGGGATCTGTGGTCAGTTACTGCTTTATAGATCCTGGTAGAAAGCGTGAGATAGAGACTTGCCCGAGTTGTATGTCTTAGGTGGTGCCGGTTCCTCATGTCCTTGGAGCCCTGCTATGTCTAAGGCGAGAGGTTCAGATGGAAGCCACATAGATAGCAGGTTTGTGTCATAGTTGAGGAATACTGAATTAGGGTATTTCCTATTTCTGTGGTATATGGTAAGCAAATTGGCTCTTTGGGAGGAGATATAATTTGGTTATCTGGTTGTTTTTGACAAAGGCAGCCCTGAGCAATGGCTCTACTTGGGTTTGCATTCTCAGCATATCCAGGAAGAATACCTAAGAATGCTTAGGCTATTTGGAAGACAGAGTGTCCCAACATCCAGGAGAGCCAGCCCTTCTATGCCTTTTAGTGTTCTACAATCATAGCTATAAAATTTTTAAAAGTTCAGTGAGCATAAGAGAGAATGTCTCTACTAAAGTATTACTTCCCTCAGTGGAATAGTTATTACCAATGCTAGGAGACAGCAACTCACATATTAAAATATTATTTTCTTCATTACTAAGCCACAACTTGAACAGATGTGACACAGTATCTAAAAAACTTAACCTTTTATGGTGGTGGACAACCTTGATTATGGGTTGACACTCGAACCTTGTTTGAGACAGGGTCTCTTGTTCACCACTGTGCTGTGCATGCTGAGCTAGTTGACCAATGAGACCAGGGAGTCTCCCGTTTCCACCTCCCATCTTGCTAAAGGAGGTCTGGAATTACAGATGCAATCTACATTGTCCAGCTTTATTTGGGTCCTGGGGATTTAAATCTCTGGTCTTCATGTTTGCGCAGCAAACGATTTACTGCTGAACATGTCTTCAGCCTGAGCAGAGACGTATCTTAGCAGATGCCATTTGCTCTCCTATGTTCCTGAAGCCTTATTCCCAATGGCCAAGATACTACAGTGAAAGGTCTTAGTGGAGTAAATCACAATTGATATGATGAAAATTAATTTTCTAGAAAAGACAAGCTTCTTGTAGACTGTAGGTTGTGTACACACACACACACACACACACACACACACACACACACACACACACCTAGTAGTGGTATTGCTGGGCTGTAGCGAAGTTCTGTTTTCAGTTTGCAGGGAACTTTCATACTGTTTTCCATAACCTGTGCCAATTTGTACAGTGCTATTTGAAATTATACCCCAAATTGTTTCTATTGACATAACTGTTTACCATCCCTCTGACAGTTTACAAAGGCCCACGTTATAGCATGCCCTCAATATCATTATTTTACTTGTTTCCAAAACCATCATAACAGTTATATCTGTTGTGATTTTAATATGTAAGTATCTGATGATCAATGCTGAAAGCTTTTTATATAGCTGTGGGCCGTTGATATGTCTTCTATGGAAAAAAATGTTTCACAATTGTTTTATTTTCCTATTGTATGTTTTTTTTTTAAAAAAATATCTGTGCCAGGTGGGTGGCTGTTTTCTGTACCAGTGTATGCACACTTAGGCTGTCACAATAAGAGAGAGAGCCACAAATAACAGAAGTTCATTTTCCCAGAGTCTCCAGACCAGAGCCCAAAAACCAAAGTTTCAGCAGGACTGGGTTGTCTTTCATGGCTTAGAGATGGCCACCTTTTCACTCTGTCATCAGATGGTCATGGTGTGCATCATGTATGTTATAGTATGCTTCTCTCTTACAAGGAAGGACCTCAGTGGGATTGGATTAGGGCTCTAACCTTACGATTCCATTTGAAATTTGGTAATAAGCAGTCCCTAAACTAAATAAACAGCTTCCCCTCCTCCTGCAAAGCAGTGTGCCTTTTTGTTTGTGCATTGTAGCTACAGTGTAAGGGCTTTCCTATAAAGACAACGAAATGACCCAGGTCTCTGAGTTGATTTGGGTCTGAAATCTGAAAGGGTGGCAACTCAAGTCAGAGTTTGGCTAACTGGTCTAGAGCTTCATGTGTTAAAAGTAGAATTCTCTACCTAGGCTGCCTATGCTCTATGTTCTGCAGACATCTGGGCCCAGGTAGTCTGCCACTTGGAAAGATGAAGGGATCCACTCTGACTTTGTTGGTTAAGTGCTGCTCGGCTCCTGCTGTTC